ATCTAAAGAAACACAAAGATTTTCAAATTTGTGATTTTCAAATAATATCTACTTGAGGAGTAGCATTGTATTAAGAGCACATTGGCTCAAAATCCAAAAGTACCCCTTTTAATCCTGTTTTCTTGATTAAGTGAAAAATCTCCCTTATTTATAAAACTGTGATGTTTTGCTCAGAGGATTGTTGTGAAAATGAAATGAAATAATAAAGTACTTCACATACTCTTAGATAATAGGTAGGTAGTTGGTAAATTAGATATTCTATTGTCAAAACTTTTCTTAGTCTTTCTTTCTAAAAACTAGGTGTCAGTGAAAATTGGAGTTAATGGTGGACTTTTAAGAGCAGCTTGAAGTAAAAGTGTGGTTATTGGCCTTCTAGTACCTGAAACACTACTTTCTCAAAAAAATTTTTCTTTTCAGCATTCCCAGACACACCTGAAATTATTGTTCCTCTTCTCTTTACCTTTCCATATTCAACATTCACTTCCTTCTGCCTTAAGATTAATGATCTAGTCTATGTTTCTATCACATTTTAAGTCATGCTAATCTAATATATATGACTGTTCTCTCTTTATGTGTGATATCTTGCAACACTCTCCAGGTCTTTTTATATTATTTTCTTCCTGCTGTATTATTGAGATAATTTACATACAACAATATTCACCAATTTAACTATATAGTCTGATGAGTCTTGACAAATATATATTCCACAAGCAATCTAGAGCATCTGGGCATACCCTTTTAAAGTCTAATAATTGAAAACCATTGAATTTCTGAACATATTTAATAACAAATGAGAAATATGCAAGCTAAAAAAATATGGTTTTGTTATAGGGCAACAAATCTGTTATAGGGCACCTCAATTCAGAGAGAGGCACCCCTGAAGCCCCAAAACCTGCCTGCTCTAAGTGGGTTCTGCCATCCGCCGCAACAAGACAAAACATATAAAGCTTTAATGAAAAGTGACTTTAATACAGTGAATAAGTTACACAAAGAATGTAACTTCTAAATCAAACACCTGAAGTTACCCATCCCCTCGTGGGCAAAAGTCCACCCAAAAGGGATTGGCCCAAAGCAAGGCCTGAAAGCCTGCCACAAGACTAAAGCACCTTCTGGCCGGGACCCATGGAAAAGGGTCAGAAATGGCCAGACAAATCTGAGAGGAAAAGAGCAAAATCAAAATCAATATAAACACTGCCATGGTCACCTCCCTACAGGTATCTCACCCACATCTGCCTTAACCAGTCCAGGGTCAGGAAACAAGCCCAGTTTCTTCGTCACATGTTTGCTGCTCCATGTGGCTTCCTTAGGTCTCCTTCTCCACCTGCCTTCTGCCCTCCTTCTCTCTTCTTCTCTCTCCTTTTTCTCTGCTCAGTTCCACCCTCCTTCTGGGTGGGGCAGGGAACCTGGAACTTCCCTTCTCCTAGGGACCACCCAGTTACAGTTTTACTCTATGCTACTGAATGGATTGATGTATGTCCTTAAGGGTGTTCTTAAAAGGGTGTTTAGAGAGTTCTGTGCATTGACCTTTTTTTAAATTAATGACTTGAGTTTTACTTAGTATGAGAAAAGAAAGAAGTAATACATTTAAAAATAGTTATTAATAAAGGCAAGAGAATTCTGAAAAAATCTACTAAATCATTTACTTGTCTTCCTTTTGTTCTCTAAATAAGATAAAATGCTTGCAGAAAATGAATAACTAGCTAAAAATAAATTTGATTTCAGAATATGCAATGCTCTGCCTGTAACTGCTGATAATAATTAGGGTACTAATTCATCTTCATAGTCTTTGCCTGGGTTGTTTCTTGTTATGCTAATATATGTTTAGACCTAGGGATGGCTGAAGAATGGCAGGATGGACAGAGAGGGGAATAGTGAGGAGGTAGTGCGACCATTTGGTACAAGAACTAGTCACAGCCCTCTTATTCTGCCCTTTAAGTAGCTTAATTACATGGAAAAGGTGCCCAACAATCAATTGTTGAGCCAATTGATTGCTCAAAGTACAAAATTAAATTGTAACTATTAAAAAATTATTTTGAAAAAGAAATACAATGTTCTGTCATCATCACATTTTGTGAATAGTTATATAATACTTCTAAAATTAATGACTAGGATTTCTAAGTATGTGGAAGGAAAAAGACATCTGACAGTAGAATGCTAAATTGACAATAAGTAGTTGTTTGTCTCACGAGGCCTCAGATGTGTGCTGCTCCAACACTCAAGTTCTGGGCCAAATGTTTCTCTGTAGCAGAGGTTTGAACTTTTAAAAAAGAAGAAAACAGGCAAAAAAAAAAAAAAAAGAAAAAGTAAACAACACAAATGACAGACATTAAAAACTCTTACAGGGCCCTCCCTGGTGGCGCAGCGGGTTAAAGCACTGCACTAAGACACTAAAGCCACTTCCGCATGAGTTCGATTCCCGCCTGCCCCGGAGGCGACCACATGGCGAGGCAGACCTCTCCTGACCCGCCCGCTGCTCCCCTCAGCAGTGTATTTCGTCGATCTGCCTGTTCTTCTTCCCGCTCTGTCTCTGGTGAATCCTCTCACCCTCTGCATCTCTGGCCTGTACCCCAGTTCTGTACGAATAAATAAATAAATCTTTAAAAAAAAAAAAAAACTCTTACAGGCTTTTAGCTCTGTGTTTCTGTGTATGTACTGACAAAAGAGCCTCGCTATCACCCATAACTTTACTTTCTTTTGGGACTTATGTCACTTTTGTCCCACGAGACCCCAGATGTGTGCTGCTCTCTCCTTCACATCCTCCTAGTGAACATCACAAGCCCATGCCAAGTACTTTTTGCAAAATCTTAACAATTCATTTCATCCTTCCCTACCCCAATGTCTTGCCTGTAGAAACTTAAATGCAGATGTTTCTGCACATGGCCATTGGCTGTCTCAACTGAGCCTTGCAACTTTACCATAGTCCAGGATTTAGCTGTCACTAAACCAATGCCAACTGGATTTGGGGAGCACACAGAGAATGGGCCAGGATTTAGGATGTGATGGAACAGGGAAGAGAGGGAACAAATGGGACTAGGAGAAGAGAAGTAATCACTGCAAGGAGGACCTGAAAGATGTGATTTCCTGGAAACCCAATTCCTGCCATTCATGCTGTAGCTCACAGGGTTTCCTTCTACTATTCTTCTGCTCAGAAAATCTTTCTTCTGCAGAAACATTAATGCCCAGGCCTAGCCATCAAAGAAAATGACATATAAATATTTATATTTTAAATATAAATGCATCTGACAGACTTCAAATGGAGAGACTAGTATACTCTCTATTTTTTACATTTGTTTTGTGTTTTGTGACATCCATGTCTTGAGTCTTTGTGTCAGTCACTTTATTTCTATGATCTTAATCTTCAGGACATTTCTATGAGCTAGGTATAGATACCGCTCCCTTCTTCCTTTGAAGGTAAGGAAACAGGGTCAGAAATTTTAAGTGACTGGGCCAGAAATTATACACTTAGAAAATGGTAGAGTCAGAATTCAGATTTGGTTATGTCTGACCCAGGCATAGACATTAGCCACATCAATTCACTTTGTCCAATAGCATTAATAGCATAAAATATTTAAGTAAATAAATTTAGTTGTTTTAATATTTTAAGCTTAAAGTTGAAAGCAGTGATATTTGCAATGAGTTCATCTCTTACAGCCTAATGAAAGTAAAAGAATTTATCCCATAAATTCATTCCTACTCTATGATTTTGTGACTTTTTTCAGTTGTTTTAGCTTCAAGTAAAAAAGGAAGACAGTCATTAAGTGCTCTTTTATACATGTAAGAACCATATTTAGTGGGTTTATTATAGTATTGCTTACTTAAGTTTGTACAATTTGAGAACATTTTCCTCCCACCTTAGGAATTAAGTTAGAATGGGCTCTAGAAGTATACATTTAATTAATTAATAGCTGACTAAACATAGCATATGTTTCATTTTAAAAAGTCTACTAAATCATCTTAATGACATCATCAGAGTCATTTCTATAATTATCTGACACTGAATTTGTCTATAAATAGCCACCTTGTGTATGTTTAATCATTTTTTGTACACTGCAGTGTGAGACTATTAACTTCCGTTTACTTTGCTAACAGCTAATCTACTCATAAGTATGAATAAATCATTCAGAATAATTAAGGCTGTATATTTATAATTACTTCTTTTATAAACATAAATTACTAAATATATTTCGATATTATATATAGTTAGTATGATTGTTACTTTAACTCTGTTTTTGTGGGTAGTTGAAAATAATGATCAAAAATTGGTAACAACTAATCAATAAAATAATGATAATATTGTCATATTTATCATTTTTAAAGCTATACATAAGCCCCTTAGAGATAATGCATTTTGTACATCTGAAACTTAGTAATTCCTGTAGCTATCACATTCTTACTGGTAATAATTCAAATTTCCTCTCTACGTAGTTCTCTATTTAAAAATTGTTTAAATCAGAAATCTAAGTCAAAATTCTGTGCTGGCTCTGGGGTTAACTAAAATCAGTTTATGTAGATCAGTTTTCTACCATGAAATTTGTCTTGCCTTTTCCCTATCGGGTGATAGTTCTATTAAAATGTGAAAACTCAGTTTCTTCTGTTGACCCTTCCTTAAAGTAAATTTCTTACTTGATGTCATGTGATACAGGACAAATAGCAAGCATTCTAGAACCTTGCTGTCTGCCACTTACTGTGTGACCTGTGACTGGCGCCCTCTCTTATTTTACTTATGAAAATAATCTAGTACCTCAAAAATCCTCTTCACCCCATTTTCTGGTCACTACCCCTTTCTAAGCAAAATCAATATCCTGACTTCTGATTAGTTTTGCAAATGGCATTCGTTAAATCTATATGTTATAGCAGTTGATAAGGGATTTGCTATGTAGAATATAACTTTTTATTTAATATCAAAGCCTGATTAATCTTTTGAGATTTATGACAATACATATATAAACATATATAACATTGAAATAAAATACAATATTTTGGTATCTCTTGTTTCCTAGATTGAAAAAGCTTCTTGAACAGGAAAAGGCTTATCAAGCCCGCAAAGAGAAGGAAAATGCTAAGCGGCTCAATAAACTAAGAGATGAGCTTGTGAAACTCAAGTCCTTTGCACTCATGCTGGTGGATGAAAGGCAAATGCATATTGAACAACTTGGCCTGCAAAGCCAGAAAGTACAGGATCTTACTCAGAAACTAAGGGAAGAAGAAGAAAAGCTGAAAGCCATTACTTCCAAATCCAAAGAAGACAGGCAGAAACTGCTCAAGTTAGAAGTGGATTTTGAACACAAGGCTTCCAGGTTTTCTCAAGAGCATGAGGAGATGAATGCTAAGTTGGCTAATCAAGAGTCTCATAACAGGCAATTGAGACTCAAGCTGGTTGGCTTAACTCAAAGAATCGAGGAGCTAGAAGAAACCAACAAAAATCTTCAAAAAGCAGAGGAAGAACTTCAGGAATTAAGAGATAAAATTGCCAAGGGAGAATGTGGCAATTCCAGTCTAATGGCTGAAGTGGAAAATCTTCGGAAGCGTGTGCTTGAAATGGAGGGGAAAGATGAGGAGATCACCAAAACTGAGTCCCAGTGCAGAGAATTGAGGAAGAAGCTGCAGGAAGAAGAACACCATAGTCGGGAGCTCAAACTTGAGGTCGAGAAGTTACAAAAGAGAATGTCTGAGCTGGAGAAATTAGAAGAAGCATTTAGCAAGAGTAAATCTGAATGCACCCAGCTACATTTAAATTTGGAGAAAGAAAAGAACTTAACTAAGGACCTGTTGAATGAGTTGGAGGTAGTCAAAAGTCGAGTTAAAGAGCTGGAATGTTCTGAAAGCAGATTGGAAAAAGCTGAGTTAAGCCTAAAAGATGACCTTACAAAATTGAAGTCATTTACTGTAATGCTGGTTGATGAAAGAAAAAATATGATGGAAAAAATAAAGCAAGAAGAGAGAAAAGTGGATGGACTCAATAAAAATTTTAAGGTGGAACAAGGGAAGGTTATGGATGTAACTGAAAAACTAATTGAAGAAAGTAAGAAGCTTTTAAAACTGAAGTCTGAAATGGAGGAAAGAGTATACAATTTGACAAAAGAGAGAGATGAGTTAGTTGGCAAATTAAAAAGTGAAGAAGAAAAGTCCTCTGAATTAAGCTGCAGTGTTAGCTTATTAAAAAAGAGACTTGATGGGATAGAAGAAGTAGAAAGAGAAATAACAAGAGGAAGATCTCGAAAAGGATCTGAGCTTACCTGCCCAGAAGATAACAAGATTAAGGAACTAACACTTGAGATTGAAAGACTAAAGAAACGTCTCCAACAATTGGAGGTAGTTGAAGGGGATTTGATGAAGACAGAGGATGAGTATGACCAGCTGGAGCAGAAATTTAGAACTGAGCAGGATAAGGCCAACTTTCTATCTCAACAACTGGAGGAGATAAAGCACCAGATCGCCAAGAATAAAGCAATTGAGAAAGGTGAGGCTGTGAGCCAGGAAGCTGAGCTAAGACACAGATTTCGGCTAGAAGAAGCTAAGAGTCGGGACTTAAAGGCTGAAGTACAAGCTCTTAAAGAGAAGATTCATGAATTAATGAACAAAGAAGATCAGCTGTCTCAACTCCAAGTGGATTATTCTGTTCTTCAACAAAGATTTATGGAAGAAGAAAATAAGAACAAAAACATGGGGCAAGAGGTCCTCAATCTGACCAAAGAATTGGAACTTTCTAAGCGTTACAGCAGAGCCCTCAGGCCCAGTGTGAATGGGAGAAGAATGGTGGATATTCCTGTGACGTCGACCGGAGTACAGACTGATGTAGTCAGCCATGAGGCAGCAGAGGAAGAAACACCAGCAGTATTTATACGGAAATCCTTTCAAGAAGAAAATCATATCATGAGTAATCTTCGACAGGTGGGACTGAAAAAACCTATGGAACGAACCTCTGTTCTAGACAGGTACCCACCAGCAGCAAATGAGCTCACTATGAGAAAGTCTTGGATTCCATGGATGAGAAAAAGGGAAAATGGGCCCCCAATTACTCAAGATAAAGGGACTCGAACAAATTCCAGTCCAGGGCACCCAGGAGAGCTGGTCCTGTCTCCAAAGCAGGGCCAGCCCCTGCATATTCGAGTGACACCAGACCATGAAAATAGTACTGCGACACTGGAGATAACTAGCCCGACATCTGAAGAATTCTTTTCCAGTACCACTGTCATTCCTACCTTAGGGAATCAGAAACCAAGGATCACAATTATTCCATCACCAAATGTTATGTCTCAAAAACAAAAAGGAGGAGATAGTGCTCTTGGCACAGAACGAGCCATGTCCCCAGTCACGATCACTACTTTTTCCAGAGAGAAGACCCCAGAAAGTGGAAGAGGTGTGTTTGCAGACAGGCCCACCTCCCCCATTCAGATTATGACAGTGTCGACATCAGCAGCGCCAGCTGAGATTGCAGTGTCTCCCGAGTCCCAGGAACTGCCCGTGGGGCGGACTGTCTTCAAAGTCACCCCAGAAAAGCAGACTGCCCCAACTCCAGTACGGAAATACAACTCCAACGCCAATATCATCACCACGGAAGACAATAAAATTCATATTCACCTAGGTTCTCAGTTTAAACGATCCCCTGGGACTTCAGCTGAAGGAACTAGTCCTGTTATTACTGTCCGACCTGTCAACGTGACAGCTGAAAAGGAGGTTTCCACTGGCACCGTCCTTCGTGCTCCCAGGAACCATCTCTCCTCTAGACCTGGTGCGAGCAAAGTGACGAGTACTATCACCATAACACCGGTTACAACCTCATCTTCCCGAGGAACCCAGTCATTGGTGAGTGGCAGAGGTTTCAAAGTGTAGACCCAGTAGAGAAGGGAGAAGTGTGTAGTTAGAATCAACCAGAGCCCCAAATAAAACAAAAGCTCATGAACCCATTAACAGATGTTTCTTAGAGGACTGTTTATACCAAAAAATGAATATAAAAAGTAGCCTAACATTTTGCTAAATAAAGGTAATTTTGAGAGAAATTATTTTTCATATAATTGTGTCATCTCCCCCATTACTTGCAAAGATGGCCTCTTTGTAATGTCAACATGCAGTAATAAATAATAAAGTTTAAATTTTGATTCTTTTTTTTTTTAAGATTTATTTATGCATACAAGAGTTGGGGTACAGGCCAGAAGTGTGAGGGGTGAGAGGCTTCACCAGGGACAGAGTGGGAGCAGACAGGCAGATTGACTGAAGTACACTGCTGAGGGGAGCAGCTGGCAGGTTAGGAAAGGTCCGCCACACCATGTGGATTACCTCCCTGGCTGGGGATTGAACTCGTGCTGCAGTGGCTTTGGATAGTGTTGTGCTTTAACCCATTGCACCACCAGGGAGAGCCCTAAATTTCGATACTTAGTTTAAAATAATTTTAAAAATAGATGTTGCACAGGATAGTCAATGTATAGTTTCCTGTATTTATTTCTTTGCCTAAAATATTCAATATGTAATTAGGTATGATCATAGTCACACTTTATTTCAAATATAAAATTTAAAGATTTTATTCCCAGAAATACTTTTAAAAAGTAAAGAAGAAATGAGTTTATATGTCTAAATGCTGCATTTTACTAATAGTATCTTGCAGGCAGCAGGTATTTGTTAAATATTTACTTAACAGGGCCCTCCCTGGTGGCACAGCCGGTTAAATTTAGCACAACACTAAGAAGCTTAAGCCACTTCAGCATGAGTTCGATCCCCGCCTGCCCCAGTCACACATGGCGCGGTAGAACTCTCCTGACCCACCCGCTGCTCCCCTCAGTAGTGTACTTCATTGATCTGCCTGTTCTGCTACCCGCTCTGTCCCTGGTGAATCCTCTCACCCTCCGCATCTCTGGCCTATACCCCAGTTCTGTATGAGTAAAATAAATAAATCTTTTTTAAACAATGCACTTAACAGACTGTCAAAGGCTAAATGGATGATTATGAAAAATCCATGTCCAAAGCATAGACCCAAGCATTTGAAAATAAATTCTATTTTTTCAAAAAACTTCCAGGGAGTATCTTCATTTATTGGGATAAAATTAGTAAATCAAATTATTTTAAAAAGCATAAACTATTTAGAAAATAGATATTAATTTAAACAAATATACTAAAATTTATGATTTCTAGACTCTGACTCATTATAGCATGTATTAGAAATTCTTAAGATAGACTGGGAGTTTTTTTTTAATTTACTTATAGAAGCTGTGGTTTATTTTCCTGTATTTTCAGTATAGTTTACTTGATTCTCTGTGCACAATCATATACTCATGGCATATTTCAAAGTGTGAAAGGCTAATTGCTTTGTCAGTAAAGCTTTTCTTTGTTGACTTTGCAGGAGCCAAATAGCATTCAGGATTGCTCACTCTTTTCAGTTGTTTCAGTATCACTTATTAGGCCACACAGAGCATAGCATGGCTGTACAGGGCCTTGTTTCTTTCTGCTGAATTCTATAAAACAAACCAACAAGGAAGTGAAAATCAGTGGAATTTAGAGCAAAAGTGAATTTGTCTCTTTGAATGTTCTACTCCCTGTTCAGGGTCAGATCAAGATAACTAATTTTCTTTAGCAACAATTTTGCTGATTAACCTCCATATACAAATAAGATTTCAAAACAACTGCCTAAGATGTCTAAGGCCATTTACTTCAGTGAGATAAAATCCCATAAAATTAAGGACAACAGAAAGTTTGCTTTACCCATCTTAGAAACTAAATAGTGAGGCCAGTTCATCTGAGCATTTATTATTCAACATTTATTGTCAGCTACCTTTTAAGCACTGGGTTCAGTGTTGACTTGTAACGAGGACTATAAGAAATTCTCAGCATAGTGGTAGAGGCAGCATTAGGACCCTGGTGTGTCTGAGATATAGGTATGTAAAAGGAACCACCAGAGAAACTTCACTGAATAGAATGTTTTCCCAGATGGGAAAAGATCTAGAAAATGGAAAAAGGCTTATGCTCAGAGAACAGCACGTGCAAAGGTCTGACTCTGTGAAGGGCCTGGCATGTTTGGGGATGATGAGCAGTTCCGTTGTGCTGGGGCAGGTGGGCATGGAGACAGAATGCAAGAGCAGCAAAAAGAGAGGCAAATTGGGGTCAGATGTTGAAAAGAGGCTTTTGTCTTCCAAAGCTGACATTTAGTCACCTAGAGTAGGCAGACAGAACCTTTAAGAGGGAAATGATGAGAGAAAAGCTACATTAGATGTAGTTTAGAAAGACATGTCTATGAAACAGTTTGAAGACTATGTAAGAGGAGGCGAGAGGAGGCAGGCTGAGGACAGGGCTACTCTAGGTGAAAGGCAGTGTGGACTTGAACTATGGTAGTGAAAATGAGGACAGAGATAAACTGAAGATAGAATTGAAATTTCTATGAAGAATTGAGTTCAGAGGGTAGTTCTGAGGTTTTTGATTTGGCTGTCTGGGTGGATGGAATGACAAATAGGGAAGAACTGGGAGAGAAGATAAGTATTTTGGAGGTATATTATATTTAAGATACCTGGAACACACTTACTATGTCTAGCAAGTAGTTGGAAATACAAATCTGTATTTCAAGAAAGCATTGAAGGCTTGGGAATGGGACTCCCCAACACATAGGCAATTCTCAGGATGAACATAAAGAACTAAAAGGTGGATGAACTGCTCACTGTCTGTAGTTACTGAAAGCCAAAAGATTAAACAATGAGGCTAGTTAGTAGCTTGAGTGTGAAATAAATCATTCTCAATTAAAAAAAAAAGAGAGGACAGAGAATGGAGCATGGTGACCTCCACTTTCAGCAGGCAGACAAGGTAAAACAAGGAACAGCAAGAGATGGAAAAGGAGTGGTCAGGAGGTGGATGGGTGAGACTCAAGTAGGAAGTCAGAGCAAGAGTTTTGTTTTGTTTTTTTTTTAAAGATTTATTCATTTATGCACACAGAACTGGGGTACAGGCCAGAGGTGCGGAGCAGAACAGGCCAACTGACAAGTGCACTGCTGAGGCGAGGTCTGCCACACCATGTGGGTCACCTCTGGGGCGGGGATCAAACTCATACTGAAGTGGCTTTAGCTTCTTTAGTGTGCTTTAATCCTCTGTGCCACCAGGGAGGGCCCACACAGCAAGAGTTTTAAGGACACATTAAGGAGGGTGTGGTCAGCAGTGAAAATACAAACTGAAGAATCTGGTGTCATTACAAGAAGAAAGAAGAATTGCTCAACTAAAGAAAGTGGAGATAATTTGAGGGACAGTTGGAGTAAAGTTGTCCGAGTTTATGCCAGTGGACTGTAAGCTTTTCTTTGTAAAGCAAAAAGTGGTTTTCAGAAAGGGTAGTGGATACAGGCTAGGGACATGAGAGGAGGAGGAGGTTTGGTAAACACCTTGAGGAGAAGGTAAAGGGAGCAATCAGAATGAACCAGAGCCCCACTCCAGGTTTGTAACAACTTCATCTGGGAAAGGGGTAGGGTGTGGCGATTCCTGTGGGGCAGGAATATTGCTAAATGTTCCAATCAATAGCACCTCCAGGGGAAACTCACCAACCTCTCCCGTGTCTTTATATTTTCTTTCTTACAGTCAGGACAAGATGGGTCATCCCAGCGGCCTACACCCACCCGCATTCCCATGTCAAAAGGTATGAAAGCAGGAAAGCCAGTAGTGGCAGCCCCAGGAGCAGGAAATCTGACCAAATTCGAGCCTCGAGCTGAGACTCAGTCTATGAAAATAGAGCTGAAGAAATCTGCCGGCAGCGCTACCTCTCTTGGAGGGGGGAAGGGCTGAGGGCAGTGGCTAAGGGGGTATGTTGTGCAGATGCTACTGCTGCCATGAAAAACAACCTTTGTCTGTCTGTGCCAACTCTTCACATGTACTAACTTAAGTTTTAAATATCTTGTTTTTAAAATAATCAACTAATAGCCATGTGTCTTTCCTACTTCCTGGTATGTTTTGATGCTGGGGAAAGAACTAGCAAAACTACACTATCATGTGCTTTGCTGAGGACACATTGGCCTGAGACAGGGCCTGGTGTGAAATCCCACTTTTGCTTCTAGAAAATTGACCCATCTGTTAACCCATCTGAGAGCTTCAGTTTCATCATCAGTAAGGTATGTGGCTGGGTCACATCTGACCTAAAGCCAACTTCATGTTCTTTAACTATAGTTCAAATGTAAGTGGCCTCATTCCACAGTAACTGATTTTTCAAAAACCCGTCATGAAATAGGAAATAGTTTGACAGTTGTCATTTGCTTCTATCAAACCCAGATTTGCTGGAAAACAGTCCACCACAGGGAGGACCCCTAAAGTTTTGCAAAAAATATAAGCCTTTGAGATGATTTCAAGACATAATTTGAATGTGAAATAAAATGGAAATGAAATATGGAATCCAAAAAACAGAGTTTTACTTATTTGTGTGTGTGTGTATGCGCGTGCATCGTAGACATTGTGGCCATGTCCAAAACATTCCCAGCATGTCAGACAATAACTTTAGAACCATTAATCGTAGATACATGCTCTACTCAAGTGTGCAATTGACTTAAATTGTGCAGTTTGAGCAGAGATGCCAAATGGCCCTTTTTAGTGCAACAGAGGTTGTAATGGATAGAAAAAAGCAGAAAGTCAATTCTGCTATATTAATGCCAAAAACAAAAATGACCTCATGCATAGCTTTTTCAACTCTGAATATTTTCCTCAGTTAAGTGTGAACTTACAAGTAAAGAACCAGTTCATGGTTGTGATTGTGTGTGTGTGTGTGTGTGTGTGTACAAATGCATGATAGTGTGAATTGGAGTATTACTGCTGTTAGATTTACTTGTGTTTGTAACATTTTCATTAATTTTAAGCATGATTTAGTGAGCATGAGACAGAATGTGAATGCAAAATCCAGGTGTCTTTCTGAGAAGATTAACCATGTTAAAGTGCATATTGTGCTTTGTAGTAAAAATAAACACAAATGAGCTCAATGCTAATAACCAGCAGCTTAGCATACAAGGTCTCATGTAAGTAGTACCTTTGTCAAATTTTTGAGCTAATTAATGAACTTTGCAAAAACATGACTTCAAAGTTGGAGGTTATTTTTCCCTTTCTTAATTGGGAGATTTCCAAAACTATAGGATAGTGCCTGCTCTCATTATTTGAGAACAGGTAAATTTTCAAAAAATATATGTATTGTTAGTTTTTAGCCTATGGATCATCATGCTTCATGACAAAAATATTTACCTGTGAATTCTTTCCATATTGAATCTTCTCCCTCTTATAAAACTTGGACTTGAATTGTACCATCACGTAGATGCCACAGTATCTCTATCTACAAGTCATCATTTCTTAGCATATGTATTTTAAAATACTGAATAATACTAGACATGCTATAGTGGGACTTCAAGGTAGAAGGAGAGACTGAGAAAAAAGACTGTATGAAATGTAATTTTGAGTAGGCTTAAACAGGAGATCATGCCTTCTTGAATATTGAATCATATTTTTTTTAAGAGGGGATTTTCTCCCCTTTTATAATGTGGCCAGCCATTCCTTTCAAAAATGAGAACATTCTCTGTTTTTCAAATATCTCCTTGGCACTTAGGGTGTTTAGTGTGACTGTACCATTGCTTACTGCATTTGAACAAATGAGGGTGTGTACAGAACAAAACACTGTATTCCTTTTGCACGAGTCTTCGGTGACTTTATCATAATCTTTTGTCACTGCTGCTGTTTTCATTTCTACCTGCCCACATTACCCTGCGTGGTTCTGCCTGGAAGTCCATACCACACTGGGGAAGTGCTCCAAAGACTTAATAGTACATGTACAGGATGTTTATACATCTGGCTCTTGGAACAGAGCCACCTGCAAAGTACAACCGTTAAGAAAACTTGGCAAAGCTGCACATAATTCACTTTTCAGAAATGATAAAGAGCAACCGCCATGGCAGCTTTTCTTTGAAATTTTAGAACTAAGTCTACATTTATTGGATAGCTTTACTTTAAACCACATATTAGAAAGGAAATTCACTGGGGATGGGAGGTGGAGGATTAAATGCACTCCAAGTTCAGCTTCCATTTGTGAATATAATGTTTTTAAGATGCAATCTAATACACTTTTACAAGAGTGAATGGGATTAAAAGGTTAGTGTCTTTTCCCTATTCTGGAACTGTAAAATGTGGTAAAATAAAATAGGCCTCTTCACCAGGCCTGCTGAAGACCCACCCTAGAAATTCCTGGAGGAGGGTATGGGTGCCCTTTTCACAGATCTAAGCGGGACGGTGTCCCCTGGAGATATTCAGGGCAACTCTGCACAGCTACAGAGGAGGGGTGGTAGTCCCTCCTTGAGAATAATTTTCATGTGTTGCCTATATCAGCACACGATGGTGGCCATTTAGCACACTCAGTACCAGACATGTTCCTGCATGGGACTCAGCCCTACGGATATTTATCCTGTCTGGAAAATGACTTTCCTGCCCAGATCACCTGCTTAAATGGGATTATTCACTTTCTACTGGCATTTTTATTATATTTTCAGTGAGGAAAGATTGATGATGGGAATTGGGTTCTCTAGAGATTTTAGTGTACTCATTGAGAGTAAGATGTTACCAGATCTATTACTTGAATGTCTTCCCAAAAGGTAAAGAAATAACTTGGATTCATAGGGGGGGGGCATGAAGACTAGTCCAAGAATATAAGATGTGAAAAGACTTTCATTTCTCATTACCTCATATGTTCAAAAAATGGGGGTGAGCGTAGGGGGAGTGAGACTTCTCTGTTTGTGAAGCCATAGGATACTAGATAAGAAGAACATACTTTTGTGGGAGTCCATTTATGCACACACAGGGGAAGAGGTAACAATGAGAATGGCCCAGAGAGTGTTTCCCTCTAAATTAGGAAGGTATGTTTCCAGCATTTCCCGACAAGACTTAGGTTTTCCCTCTTCCCTCCTCGTCCAGAGTCTCATCACTCCTTACTTCCCCATCCTCTGCTCTTCCCTCTTTTTTCACCTGCTACCGATGCACAGGAAAGAAATATACTCTTGCTTCTGAGATGTTAGTGAAATTCTTCCTTCAACTCTGTAGTTCTTTGCAGCTACAGCCCTGTCTCCTCCCTGCCTAGCTAGTCACAGACAGAACACTAACCTTTCTGTCTCCATTTCCACACTACCCATTTATTCTTTAACTACCTTTTATTTTTTATAGAAGTCTAATACATAGTTAATATATCAGCCATTGCTGAAAGATGATGAACACAGCTCTTTTTTTTTTCCCCTTCAATTTTTAAACGATTAAAAGAGGTGAGGGGCAGTGAGAAGATTCACCAGAAACAGATTGGGGAGCAGAACAGGAAGATCACTGAGGGGAGCGGGGGGCATGACAGACAGGAGAGGTCTGCTGCATCATGTGGGTCACCTCTAGGTCGGGGATCGAACTCACCCTGAAGGAGCCATGGCTTGGCTTGGCTTTGCAGTGCAGTGCTCCAATCAGCTGTGCTACCAGGGAAAGTCTGAACATAGTTATTTCTTACTTTACTCCCCTTCTCCCTCAGTTTTACTCTCTGGAGAAAAAAAAATTCTAACTCTTACCTATTTCTTTGGGCATTTTCCTCCATATTTCTCAATAATATACTTGTACTCTGAGTTTACTTATCAGATTTAGATGTTATCTTTTGCCTTCCCATTATTTTTTGAAGCATGAGGATTTAGCCTTCAAGTGCCCCTTTCCTATTTCCCATTCCCCTTACATCGCAATTTTTATAACTCAGTATTGAGTATTCATAAGTTTAGATCTTTATATGTTTGTAGTGTAAATTTATATATTCTTCCCTACTGAGCCAGGCAGTATACAATGGTTGTGTTCCTCTCTTCCTCCCATCAAAAGAAAATTATTTTAATTTTTCATCTGCTTGGTTTTCTATGTATCTATCTTTATTTTTTCCAAATGCCCCAAATAGCTCTGCCAAACACCTATCAGTAATTTTTCCAAACACTTAAGCACATCAGTTTCCCATTTGACCCTGGAGGCCTGCCTATTTCAGCCCTCTGCTTCTCTGCTTAGACTGGCCAGGTTGTCCCTGGCTTCCTGCACAGCTGGTGCCTGGTGTTTTTTGCCTATGTTGAATCCTGTTTCCTGGATTTCTTCTATTTTTGCTTACTTGCCTATCTCTCTCTCCCCTCACCCCCAGTCTCCCCTTTATGTCTTGAAGTGCATCTCCCACTGGCTTCTACAAAGAACAGTTCTCCAGGAGCCTCCTTAAGACAGGCTGCCTGCATTCTGGGGCTAGATCAGGGAAGTTGACATGCAGAATATCTGTGTAATCTTGCACTGCTCTGCATTCAGGTTACTCTGTTCATTCTTGTGGTTAGGACCAGAACTCCTTAAATTAGATTCTTTGAAAGTCAATCTCTAGTCTCTGGAAAGGGTGGAATAGAGCGAGATTATGCTCTTCTCTGTCAGTAGCCAAGATAACTAATCTCCTTTGGTTTTCTTTTGACTTTCTGATTGCTCTGCTTTCACATCTCTTATTGGCTCCTTATTTTATGTATACATCCTAAAAGTTGTTGTTTCCTTGTCTCTATCAAAATCCATTTCCTAAACTACATGCCGGTTATTTTATGAACTCCCATGGCTTCAATTATCACTCACATGCCGCTGACTACCAAA